TGCACCCATGCTTTGAAATTCATTGTTTAGGGTGGCTACAAACTCAAACAAAGGAACAGTTTACTTTGAAGCACATAGAAAAGCTGTTATTCTGTTTGGTATATTTATTAGATTATAAATTTAAATTATTAAGTAGTATTTATTAAATAAGTTATTAAATAATTTTTTGAATTAATTTTTATTTTTTGTTATTTACTTTTGTCTATATTTCTCATAAATAATAATAATAATTTATAGTCCATTTCAGTTTTTTTCTATTTTTTAAAAAATAAAAAATTAAAAAATCTAAGAGTATAATCTTAAATTAACATGTTCACAGCATAAGTTAATAATTAGAAGTAAGGGGTGAGCAGTTTCTCAAAATCAGTTTTTTTGAGTTAAAATAAGTTACTAGAATCAGAAACTGTTTGAAATAAGTTTAATCAAACCGTTCAAAATAACTTTTACAAAACTAGAATTTATAAGTTAGCCAAAATAAGTCACACCAAACACTCCCATCATAGGGCGGCTAACATAAGTATATTAAAATCAATAATATAAAATAATTTTGAATATACATATAAAATAGTAAAACCCATTATCAAGAAAATATTTTATTCATGATATTTTTTGCATCTATATTTTCCCTTTTCTTTTTCTTTCCATTATTAATATAGAATGATGATAGAGAATATTAGAATTAGAGCTTTAATGTCAATTCTAGTGATGTGACAATATATATAAAAGAAAAGGTAAATTATGAAAAATGAGTGAGACCACTAAAAAGAGGAGCATTAATAGCTCTAAAATAGTGTAGGTCCCACATGATGAGATGTTTTGCTCTTGTGTTTTTTTTTTTTTTTGAATTTTCACCTCATTAGTAGTCAATTAGTGTTTCTAAATTAGTGGAATGAATCATTATTGGGTAAATTACAAATACACCTCTTAAGATTTGTTTAAAAAATAAATTGTCCCATGTGGTTTGGAAAATTACAAATACTTTCTTGTCATAATTTTTTATTTAACATAATTAATTAAAAAAGTGAAATTTCTAACTGTTCACCTATACAATAATAAAATTATTTGAATTATTAATTGAAATAAAATTTTAACATTATTAAAAACTATTAATTAACTTGATAATTTATTAATAAAATGACCTATTTGTTTTGAAATTAGTAATCTTAGGGGCATAATTTAATTTCTAGAACCACATGAGATAATATGTAATTTAAGAAAACCTTAGGGGGTGTTTTTGTAGTTTACCCTTAAAAAAATACAACATAAATCAAAATATCAAATCATAAAGTAAGAACCACCTCTAGAGTTCCACATTTAGAGGTCCCAAACATTTTTAATTAATATATTACCTGCGTTCTCTTATTTTTAGTTAGTTTATAGTTAGTTTTGTGTTTGTGAATTTATTGACGGGATAGAACCGTTTATTTTGAAGTCCAGACATCTATTGTGAGACTAAGTGGGTGTTTTTGTTATTTTAGTAGATTATTTTAATTTTTGGCTATTTTAACATGTTAAGATTTTTGTGTTTGAGAAGATGATTAAATTTTTTTATAGTTGGATGTGATGTTTATGAGAGAAAAAGTGAAATGATTATGAATTTGATGTAAAATTTTATCTTATTAATTATTTTAGCCTATTTTATCTTTTAGTGCTATGTCAGCTAAAAAATTTCTTCTCAAACACCCCTAAAAGTATTTCAAGATAAAAATACAAAGATAATTTTAAAATAGAAAAAAAATTTACTTGAGATCTATAAGTTAAATATGTGGCTAAAAATATATGAAGATCAAATCAAACCAACTCAACGCAACTAGTTAAGGATGGCAATTTAAACGCGGCCCAACGGGGACCTAGCCCTTCGATCCCGATTTGAACGGTTTTTTCTCGAAAAATATCTCGAACCAGGCAAGGATGATATTTAAAAATCAATCATCGATCAATTTCGGGCCGGAGATGGAGATAAGTGTTCCAACCCCATAACCGGTCCCATCCTCGGCCCCGTTTTTCTCCGAAGTAAAATTATTATTTTACCCCTCTGTATATATATAAACCAAACCCCTTTATATTTTACCCCTTTCCATCTACTGCGTCTCTCATCTATCTCTCTCTCTCATTCACTCATATTTCACTCTCGCTGTGTCTCACTTCTTATCATCATCATCCATAACAGATCTGAACAGATCCGCCGACATCACTCCCTTCTCCATCGCAGCACCGCTTCTGTCTGGTCTCCGCCGCAGCTTCGGTGTTTGACCCAAACGACGGCAACAGATCTGAACAATTTCAGTTTCAAATCTTTTTTTTTTTTTTTTTTTTTTTTTTTTTTTTAGTTTTGTTGATGTTGATGATGATGATAGATATATATATATATATATGTGTGTGTGTATGTAATGAACTATTTCAGATTTTTACTTTTTTATTTTTATTTTTAAGTTTTTGATGATTGTTGTTGATGATGATAGATACATATATGTATATGTGTGTGTGTTGAACAATTTTAGTTTCAGATCTCTTCTTTTCTTTTCTTTTCTTTTTTTAAGTTGTTGATGATGATGATGATGATGATAGATATATATATATATATGTGTGTGTGTGTGTGTGTGTGTAATGAACTATTTCAGATTTTTTTATTTTTATTTTTAAGTTTTTGATGATTGTTGTTGATGATGATAGATACATATATGTGTGTGTGTTGAACAATTTCAGTTTCAGTTCGTTTTTTCTTTTTTTTTTTTAAAGTTGTTGATGATGATAGAACAACTTATATATATATATTATTTTTTTAATTTTTTAAAATTAAAATTAATTTATATATATATATATATATGAAAAACAGATTAATATATATATATATATTAATTTTTTAAAATTAATCTGTGTAATGAAACAAATTAATTTTTTCGGATGATGAAACAGATTAATATATATATATGATGATAAAACAGATTATTATTTTTTTTTTGTGTTGAACAAAATTAAAATTAAAAAGAAAACAAACAAACAGGTTGGGAATTTTTGGGAGTAGGGGAAACCCAATCCCCGTTAGGGGGCGAGGGCGGAGGCCGGGGGTGATGGTGTCCCCACAAGGGATTCGGGGCGGGAACGAAAATTTTTTTACTGTCGAGAATCGAAAACGGGGAGTGTGATCCCCAATCCTGGTCCCGGCTCCAGACCGGCCCCTTGCCACTCCTACGACTGGTCCGACTACTAGTGTAGAGTGGTGATGATTAAAGTCTAAGAGAAGGTCCATTAGGTTTAGATAGATGTATTCTTACAGGAATTATTTATAAAAATACTATGATGCGGTATTTTTTAAAATATAAAACTATGCTGATATTATAAATTTTTTTACTGTCGAGAATCGAAAACGGGGAGTGTGATCCCCAATCCTGATCCCGGCTCCAGACCGGTCCCTTGCCACTCCTACGACTGGTCCGACTACTAGTGTAGAGTGGTGATGATTAAAGTCTAAGAGAAGGTCCATTAGGTTTAGATAGATGTATTCTTACAGGAATTATTTATAAAAATACTATGATGCGGTATTTTTTAAAATATAAAACTATGCTGATATTATTTTAGCTTTGAACTGATAAATTAAGGTTTAAGTTTACGTGTTCATCTGTATCTATCTATAGTATCATAAAAGGAGGGTTTGAGATGATATTATATTGATATAATGTCACATTTTGATTTTTGAAAATATCTTTTTAATTTATTTAAGAGGCAAAATTATATGATTTATGAAAATATCTTCCTAGGCTATATAAAATATAAAATTATATAAAAAGAAGGTTGAGACCTTTGATTTGATAGACAAAAATCTATATTTTTAAATCAAATTAAAATTTATATTTTTTAAATTTAACTACCTACTCATTAAGTCAGCAGGCCAGGCCCCAATAAAATATGTATACCGTTGCAGAATAATTTTTTATTGTATATCGCCGTAGAATAATTTTTTCCTACCGCCGTATACAGTGGCGGAGTCACATGAGGCTAGGGGCATGTGTCATCCTGAATTTTTGATTTTTTTATAACATATGTATATAAATAAAATTTTAAACAAAAATAATATTTAGAATAAAATGTTAAGGGTATTTTTAAATTTATAAAAATAATAGTGATTGTTTTATTAAAAATGAAGTGGCTACAACAAATTATACTTTTATATATAAAAATTTTATGAAAAAATCTCAATTTTAAGTTAATATCCATCATTTTTTATATACAAATATAATTAATCTCGCTATATATATGTAAAAATTACTAAGAGTGTTAGTTATATTTGTATGTGGAGTTTACTCTTCATATGTTGCTTTACTATTAGTTGGTGATATCATATGTCAATAATGACATGATGTCATTATTATATGAAATTTTTACTTAAATTTTGTAAAAAATTGATTTATCTTACTATTATATAATTTATTTTAAGACTTAAATATATGACTGTTTTTACATGAACACATGATATATTAGTTACACGTAATACTTTCTTTTCGATTTTACTCAAAATTAATTGTAAAATTTTATATGAAATATTTTTATAATAATTTATTTAAGTTTTTGAACTTATTATTAATTCAAAAATTATTATTAACTTTTCATTATAGGTTATAAAAAAAAAATTAAAGTTATAATCAACAAATATTTCTCCTGATTTAGTTCACTGACAGTATATTACAGATTGTTTGGTTGGATATTCCACTAACCTCTAACTATCAAATGGACTCTCAATAAAGGATGCAAATAAATAGTACACGCAAAATGTTTGGGACCTTAAAATAGTATTCACAATTATATGGTAGATAAAATATGTGTTAAATTTTAAATTAATTTATTTTATTACATATTTAATAATAGTAAACTTAACACTCAAACCACGTCATTGTTGATAAATTTATAAATATAAATGTTTGGTCTCTACCGTTACTGCACTGAAAAGCTACAAAGTGCATGGATTAAGTACACACACAACACAAAATAAAATATTATTAGAATGACTAAAATTTTTTACTAAATTTATTTATTATATTAAACCTCACCTTACCTGCCGTTCATCTATTCATAGATGAAAGATGAACATAGTAGTGTGAATCCGTCAAATAATAGACAAATTTAATACAAAAATTTAGTCACATTATTACTTTATACCATTGCACCTTAATTACTGTTGTAAGGCTTGGAGTTTATGAGATTCAAGTCTCAGCTGACAGTCTTTATTAATCACCTCGCACATTGACTTGTAAGACGACCCACCTTTGCTCAGCGCATTCTTACCACTATTTTTAAGTTCCTTGGCTCTCTCCTTCATCTCCTTCCTTCCATGCTTGTTGGACTCCATTACAATTGTCACCATCTCCTCTATCTCTTCCCTCCTCACCACCTTCTTCGTCGGCAACACCTTCGGCTTGACGGCCACGCCGAGCTCCTCCTCTAGCATGGTTGCATTCATTCTCTGCTCAGCATACAGTGGCCATGCAATCATGGGCACTCCGTTGCTTACACTCTCCAAAGTGGAATTCCACCCACAGTGTGATAGAAATCCTCCCACTGACGGGTGGCTCAATATCTTCACTTGTGGGGCCCAAAGTGGGACCACCACCCCGACGTTGTGGGTCCTCGTCAAGAACCCATCAGGCAGGCAGTCTGGGGTTTGTGGGGCCCAAAGTGGGACCACCACCCCGACGTTGTGGGTCCTCGTCAAGAACCCATCAGGCAGGCAGTCTGGGGTGCCATCTGGGCCACTCCCTGACGTGAAAAAGGATGAACCACCATGCCCCTCAATGGGTGGGCGTAGCACCCAAACAAACCTCTGCTGGCTTAGCTCCAAACCCCAAACCAGCTCTATGGTTTGCTCAGCCGACAACGTCCCGCCACTCCCGAACGAGACATATATCAAGAACCCATCAGGCAGGCAGTCTGGGGTGCCATCTGGGCCGCTCCCTGACGTGAAAAAGGATGAACCCCCATGCCCCTCAATGGGTGGGCGTAGCACCCAAACAAACCTCTGCTGGCTTAGCTCCAAACCCCAAGCCAGCTCTATGGTTTGCTCAGCCGACAACGTCCCGCCACTCCCGAACGAGACATATATCACCGACTCACTGGGTTGCTTGTCGAGCCACTCCAACAATTCACTATTTGGACCGGCCGGTTCAACCGGTTTTGTTAATGGACCGATAGGATAAACCGGAACCTTAACTATTGATCGCATGATTTTATGATCACGCAAGGCTTTGAGCGATGTACCCTCCAGATCTTCCCAAGTGTTCATCAAGATCCCATCAGATAGCGAATATTCGACCCCTATGCGCATGTACTCATAATAGTCCTGATTAGTCCGGTCCAGCATCGGGTCGACTACGTCTTCCGGACGAACCGGCTTGCAACCCGGAAGGCTGAGGGGTTCATTTTGATCGACGTACTCACCTTCAACTTCCTTGTCAAGCACATGACAGTAGATGGTTAGAGCGGTGAACCATGCAGTGGAGGTCACAAACACGTACTTGGACATGTTAAACTCGTTGGCGATCTCAAAAGCTTCAGATCCGAAGAGATCGACGATGAACATGGCTGGGCGGTGCTCCATGGCACAGAGAGCGGACCGAAGGGAGGGTCGAGCCTGGCGCATGATAATGGCGAGCAGTGTGACGATCTTGGTGTCCGGGTTAACTAGGCTGGAGATGTCGACCGGAGGGAGTTGGAGTATGCGGAGGTGTTTGGGGGCGGTGGAGGGATCGAGTAGTTGGGATTCTGCGGGTGAGGAATGGGTGGTGACGACAAGGATGGTGACTTCTAAGCCATGATGGGTGGCGAGGCGTTTGCCTAGCTCGAGGACTGGGACAAGGTGACCCATGCCAGGGCTGGAAAGTATGGCCGCATGAAGCTTTGTGCTTTCCATGGATGCAACTTTGTGAGAGAGAGAGAGAGAGAAGGAATGCCTTAGGCAGTGAGTTTGCTACAAGGTACGCACCCTTAATAAAAGCATAATTAAATGAAAAAGAAAAAGAAAAATGATATATTCAAGCCGACCTTTTAGATTCATACTATGTTTCATATAATTTTTTACAAAGTAGGCCCCCTTAATGAAAGCATAATTAAAAAAGAAATAATGTCATACAAGTTTTCATAAAAGCATAAAAGTAGAGTGCTATTCAGGTTGAAAAATTTGACACAATTTATAGATTTAATAATACGGTATTCTTTTAAGATAGGGAAAATTGCATAAATGGTGGTTAAAAAAATATTGATAAAAAAGTGGTAAAGATTATAAATATTAATAATTAAAATTATAAATTTTTCTACCATTGTGTAATAATTTTTCAAAACTTACCTTGAATTGTGCTTTTTCTATTAAAATATTTAAGTCAACTATCTCTCTCACACACATTTATTCTCAAATCATCAACTAATCATCTTGTTTGCACCAATGTTTTGAAAATTGAACCGGTAAGCAAACCGAAAAAGTGAATGGATAAATGGATCATTGGTTCAACCGCGGGTAAATCGGAATTGAACTGTGATGTCATAAATATATTAAAATTTGTAAGTATAAAAAATATAGATATTAAAATTAAAAAATAAATAAAAATAATAAACAATAAACAATAAACAATAAACAATTACAAAAAAATATTTCTTAAAATTTATTTTATGTTTTTTATAAATTGATTTTTAGTAAAAATAATTAAGATAATATTGAATATACACAACATTTGAGTTGGTTTTTTACTCCTTTTGTTGATGATATATATATTGTCTTTTTACTGATTATTTAGTCAAAAATTATTATTTTTAACTGTATCCCAAACAAGCTCTAAGACTGTATAAAAATAAAAATAAAAAGCTTCAAGGCAATTTCAAAAAAAGATTTAATTAATTTTTTGACTTTTATAAGTGAAGTCCTTTTTTTTTTCTTTTTTATTTATCAGACACCTTAATTTCCCAAGACACCTTAATTTCCCAAATTATAAATGCTTATGAATGAAAATTTAAATTTTAATAACATTTTTAGCAATTGAAATAAGACCCACATTAATTATGAAAATATTATATGTCTTTTATCTTATAAAATCTTAACAATAGAGACCTTAAACTAAAAAAGAGAAATACCACATCAACGGATTATTAAAAAACAAATTATAAATTAATAAAAAAAAACCTTATAAAATATTAGAGATATTTACCAATAAATCTCATCTCACAAACAACTATTCCAATTAGTTTTAAGTTTTTTTTTTTTATTGATTTGTTAAGTACTATTAGTAGAAATTTTCTTTTTGTGGTCATATTTTTTATTTTGGTATTGTTTTCGAGGACAATTATATGTTTTTATTAGTGTGACAAGTATAATGTGATACTGCAATGTGGCTAGTATTAATGTGATATTCCAATGATGTGGCACTCTAAAAAAATTAAAAACTCCTTAGTGTATTTTTTTTGAATGTAACAACGTGACGGGTATGATGTGACACTCCAAAACTTTTATTCCAAAAAAAAAAAAAATTATTTAGTGCACTTTTTCCAAATGTAACAACGTGGCGAGTATGATGTGACACTTCAAAAAAAATAAAAATTTCTTAGTGTACTTTTTTCAAAGGTGACAACGTGACGGGTATGATGTGACACTCTAAAAAATTAAAAACTCTTTAGTGTACTTTTTCCAAACGTGACAAGTGACACTCTAACGTGGTGGGTATGATGTGATCTCTAAAAAAATTAAAAACTCTTTAGTGTACTTTCTCAAATGTAACACTCCACCATGACGAATATGATATGACACTAAAAAATTCTTTAATGTATATTTTTTAAATGTGACACTCCAATATGACGAGTAAATGAGTCATTACACATCCAAAAGGACTAAATAGATCACAAGAAAAAATATGAAATTATACGAATTACAAATCCAAAATATGAGATTTATTTGTTAATCTCCCTAAATATTAGTAATTTAGTTAATAAACTTTTCCATGAAATTACATTTTTTAGTCCATGACATCACTGACGGGTAATAATTCCAACTAAAAACCCCATAATAATAAGGTCTTATTTGTCATAATCTAAAAAAAAGTTAAAAAGTCACAATTTTATTTAAGTAATATCACTTTATTTAAGTCACATTACTTTTCTATTACATCACTTTAAACCTAATTCATATTTTATAAAAATTCAAAAAATATACTTATTTAAATCATTCTAAATAACCTTTAAGATAGGTGTTATATTAATAAAAAAAAATTATAAGATATATTAGCTTGTACTTTATTGTTCCCAAAAAGAGTGAGACAACGCGGTTAAACGTGGGATGAAATCATTAAAGTATGGGTTTTTCCTCAAATTTAATATCTCTAATATGTTTTTGAAAATATAAGAATAACATAATTTTCTATATTAATTTAAGTCCTTCAAAATATATGATGACAAAATTTTATAATTTTTTTAATTCATTTACAAATTTTAAAATTCTGTAACTGTTGATCTAGATTTATATTTTTTTTATTTATGAAATTAAAATTTTTGAAATCGTTTTATCAAGATCTGTAAAATAAGATCTATGATGAATTTAAAATTTTAAAAATAAATAAATAAATAAGTTCATGAAATCTCATTGACCTAAGACAGGTTAATGAAATTTCGATGATCAAGTCAGTGAAATTTTGATGATTAAGTCAGTATAAGTGAAATTTCGATCAATTAGTGAAATTTTAATGACCAAGTCAGTGTAAGTTAGTGAAATTTCAGTTGGTTAATGAAATTTCGATGACCAAGTTAATGAATTTTTATGGTTTTATTTATTTTATTTATTTTTTTCTCTATAATTTCATATTACTTATGAATCTTGTTTGAAAGACATTGTCAATAGGATTCTAAGAATATAAATTTTACAAAAATTGTTTGAAAGTTTTAAAATCACTTAAATAATATAAAATGTAAGATAGAGGACCTTAGAGCATCTCCAATGACAATGTTATGGCAAATGCTATAATAATATTGTAATTACTATAATTTAATAATGAATAGTAATAAATTATCAAATTATAATAATGGTGCTCCAATAACTAAGTGTTATTTTGATAGAACTAAACACAAAAAACACAGAAAACACTACCAAAAACCAAGTGTGAAACCCAAGATTGTTATTTACTTGAGAAAAAGTCAGGACCAAACTTCACTACTTAGGCCATCTCCAACGGTTCACCAGATGCATCATCAAATTTGAATTTGATGAAAAAGTACACATTTTTTTTTGGCTCCAACGGTTTTATCAAAACGATAGTAAATTGAAAACGCCCCAAAATTTTCACCAAACTGAGAATGTCTTGCATCTTTCAGCAATTTAATGCACACACTACAACAAAATTGAATTTTTACAGCTTGTAATGCATGCCGTAAAAACTATTTCACGGCATGCACACAAATGTCGTTATATGACATGTCGTGGAAAGTTAATTGTCATTTACAGTATGCAGTAAAGTTGTAAAAAATAATAAATTAAACATTAATGACATATTTTGTATGTTGTATATAATTTTTTACGATATTTTTGTCATGCTAAAAATCATCATACTTTCCATGACATAATTTTGCATGCCGTAGAAGGTTATTTTTAATTATTTATTGCATACTTTGTATGCCGTATAAAATATTTTAGGTATTTTCTTGCATGTCATAAATTATCACTTTTCACGACATAATTTTGTATGTAGTAGAATGATATTTTTAATATATTTATGACATACTTTGTATGCCGTATATAATCTTTTACGGCATTTTCTTGTATGTCATAAATTATTACACTTTTCATAACATAATTTTATATGTCATAGAAGGTTATTTTTAATATATAATATATATACAAGAATATAACTTTGCCTAACAATATGTAGACAGTAGCTTATAAAATGTAACATGTTAACAAACCAAGCAGAAGCAGCAACTATGAAGTAAGCAAAAAAATCTAATATCCATACACCAAACAACCTGCATACTAACTTTTATCCTCAACTTCTATCATATCAAGCTGATAACAACCTCAAACATACAAACTAAGAAAAGTATTCAAATCATAAGTTTCAATAATCTCTAAAATACGACTTTAAACATCCAAAAAGTATAACTACAAGTTGAAAATCAATTAGTCTAATATTTAGTCCAAAATAATGAATTGACTAGGCCATGTTGCATCTTGAAGATCATACATTTTATGAGTAGAACGAAACAACGATACGTTGACTATTACGTGGTTTACCGATACTTTCCAACACATAGATCCAAGAGTCACATGATGCACCTTTGACTTGGGATCCCTTGATTCAATTTGGCCTTCTACAACCACCAAGATTGTCCCCTCCCAATGCAACAACTTGTATTTGATATTCTCTAAGCTTGACACACCATTACTTTGATGCTACAAAAATTAAGAGTATATAAGCATACTACATAACATTCATCCTATTTACCAAGTATTAGTTCAACAAAGGAAATGAAAGTGTCAAAAAGCTTCAAGGAGAACTCACTTATACATGTCATCAATTTTAGAAAAGAAAATTTCAACCTGATGACTACATATTTTGAGGTGGTCACACTTATGAGTCTACTCGACCTGATGAATTTATAAAAACTAAATGGACATTCTAATTCAAGTAGATCTCTGATAAGTTCCTCAGTTCTTCACTAAAGAACACAAGAAGATGATTTTGGAGTCTTCATTATGAGAGTTGTATTAAACACACACACACACACACACACACACACACACACACATATCTAAAAGTGTAAAAAAGAACAGAGTAGAAGCAGAGCTATAGAGGAGGTGAGATAGAATGAGAAAATCCAAATGGTTGTTTGTTGAAATCACTCATCTTCTCAAGAACCTAAATGGGATGTTGAGAAAGAAAGGTCCAAAGGGATTGAATCAAGTAGGAAATTGAGAAAATTGAGAAGCACGGTTCCAAACTTAGACTTGTTGCTTCCAATTATATGTGACAAAGAAGTGTAGAGATAGTATAAGAGAAGGA